TGGGCAGCTTTTTCACTACATGCAAAAAGTACAGAGGGTGCAGGAGCAGCCTCCTCCTCCTCCTCTTCCTCCTCCTCCCTTCCAGTGCAGTTGGACCCAGGGCTTGTGCCCTGGAGTTGGAATCACCCACACATGCTGTTGGTCCATGGTGGTCCTGACACACCAAAACACACCTTTATAAAGCAAAGGGACCAAGTGCCCCTGGCCATGCCTTCACCACAGCCCCATCTCCAGCAGGGAGAACAATGAACCACGTGCAGAGCAGGGGGTGACAGAGAGGGCAGGTGAGGTGTCACCCCAACGGGTCACACAGCAACCCAGGTCAGCTCCCTCTTCATTCTCCTGGTGTTTACTGAGGGTCATGGGCAACAACCCCTCAGAACCACCCCCAGAAGCGTTGTCAGCTCTGTTGGGAAGCATCTCATGCCATCCCACCCCATCCCATCCCATACCCATCCCATCCTACCCCATCCCATCCCACCCCATCCCCACAACTGCAGCCCTTTGAGCTGCACACCTTGAACTGTCCCCTCCAATTTCAGGATGAGCAGCAGCACTAAAAAAAACTGAGAAACCCTCAAACCCCCGTGTTTCACACCCAGGTGCCAAATCATTTTCTGTCTGGATGCCACAGCCCCAGCTGGGCACATCTGAGCTCCTGCAGCCTGATTTTCACCCTGTTTTCCACACTGCAGGTGTCAGAAAAGTCTTTGGCCAGATGTGAATCTGTACCTAATGGTGTGCAAAAAAAGAAAACTCAAATTGAAAGAGTGATTTTTTGGATTTAATAGAAATAACCAAACCAAAATAGGTCTCAAACAATGCTTTAAACTGAGCTAATACAACTTCTACAGCACATTCCAGAGCACTTAACAAGAGATATTTACAGGCAGCTAAAGTATTAAATAACCAGGGAAAGAAAAATTTCATTTTTTTTTAATTACACACCAGCAAAAACCACAGGAACAGAACAATTAGAAACGATACCTTTTTAAAAAAAAAAAGTTAAATATGGTGATTCAGATAATACAATATCACAGAAACAGCACTTGGTTTTTTTGAAGAATCATATCAAAAGATGAGCCAAGTCTACTATGTGCAAAAAAGAACCAGTTCCAATACTGGAAGCATTGAAGAATCCAAGAATGCCATGAATTTAACCCTTCCAGGAGTACGTTTACATGGAAAACAAGCTTTGAACTGCACAAATCTGTATAGGATTATATACATGTGTCATGGTGTTCTGAACCTAAAAATCCCCCCCTCTGCAGGCCAGCAGAGGTGTCAGGGGAGGTCACTCCAGACTGAATCCTGCAACAAGTCCAGCTTACAAAGCATTTCAGTACCTCTCCTTGGAGAAATTCCATAAATTCCATAAATCCTAAAGACAGCAGCCCCAAGGTGTGAGATCACCCGACAGAAAAGGCCAAAACTGCATTTCAGACATTTTACAGTTCACTTATAACAAAGATTCCCAAATTAACTGTGATTTTGGAAAGATAATTCAATCCTGATAACATTAGCAAGCATAGAAAGTAGGATCCCCATAAGCAAGCTGGAAGTAGATGGAAGAGTTTCTTTACACACACTTACACACATTTATTTTATCTTCTCAAAGATAAAATAAATCACATACCCAAAGATACAATCTGTATGTTCCATCTGAAATATGTCTATGCAAACTGTGGCATAAACATTTTTATTTTAAAGAAGTACCTCCATTATTTGCTCAAACACCTACTTCTTAAAAAAAACATGGAACTTCCCCCAATTTTTAAAATAAAATGCCACGCTATACTGTCAATAACTGCTGCACACTCTGTTTTTAAAAGCTAGGCTTGGTGATATGCATACAGACTTCCCTATAAAATCACTACCCAAAGGAAAGGATTCCTGTCACGCTGACAGGCAGCAGACAAAGCACTTTTATTGCTTTTTCCAAGGAGGAGATTAAGAAAAACAATGAAAAGCCAACTGGAAAAGCCAACACCATACCCAGAGCTTCAAAATACTGCTGCCATAACCCAAACTTTTCGAGGTCAGCCAACAAACCAGGTGATGAAAGAGAAATTTGGGCTCATTTTAAGGACTTGAGCTCCAGTGCCTTGCAGAAATGTTTATAAAACATTTCACTGAGCCAGCACAAAAAGTGTGTGACAGTCAAGTGCCACAAGGACCAGCAGTGGTGACGTCCCACACAGAGGAACAGCCTCTCCACTGAACTGAGCATTTCTGTTTGCAGAACTTAGGGGGAACATCCTCTTTTTTGGATAATAACTCTGCCTTCTTATACCCCAGGTCACTTATTCAGGGCATATTTAAATAAAAACCCTGAACCCACTCAGCTGGTGGAATTAGCACCAGTCACCAGGAATTACATGGACACCTCTGAGGTACCTGAGAAGCCCACACTGTGCACTTTTCACTCCTATTTCAAAAGCAAGTTGCCTTTTACTTCTTTGGATTAACTTAAACCTCAGGGTCATTTACAACAGAAATTGAGACACGAATTTTTACAAGTGTTTTAAACGAGAGCAGAGTTAAACCAAGGGCCAGACCCCTCCTGCCCCCCCGTTGGAGCACTGGGATCACACCAAGGGCCTGGCCCTGTCTTTTCCAAGTTTTCCTGATGTAAGTTGTGCTCTAAATCCCCAGGTAAAATCACTCCCACCCGTTGCACACACAGCACCTGGCAGGGGGAAGCCGCTCCGAGAATCGGTGACTCATTAACACAAACCCCTTAATTTGCTCCTGAACAAGTTACACACAGTGAGGCACCAAAAACTGCTTTCACTGAGCAAACCCTTCCCAGTTCTGTGATGAACACCCAGCCTACAGGATCAGGAAATGGATTAGCAGAGCTTATCTACCCTTTCAAGTATTTTCAAACAGAACTTTGCTGCTTTCAAAACTGAAATCGTTGCTTTGGGAGTTCCAAAGTGAAGGGGGGGGAAGGAAAAGATTTATAAATAAAAGATACACTTGAGATTTCTTGCACACATTCAAAATTCCACATCATCTGTGGATCCCCACACTGGGGGCCTGGATGGAAGGAGCAGTTCTGGAGGGTTCAGTGGGATCTGTGCAGAAGAGCTCGGACTCAGTGAGGCCAAGCTCAGCTCTACTCCTGGGGGGCAGAAGCTGCTGACCTAGAGCTGGACAAGTTTCCTGGCTGTTGTAGGGAGTGAATGACTGGAGAGGCCAGCCCAAAAGAAAGCCTGTCCCAAAACATGGAACATGTGCTCGAGGGTCTGGGTGGGAGGCAGAGGGTCCTGTTCCTGCAGCAGCTGGGGAGCACGAGCCTCCTCCTTCCCCACTCTGCTCCCAGGGGATCCCACCGTGCCCATCCCACACTCTGGCTCAGGCTGGGGGGCTCTGCAGGATTCAATCCATGGCTGGTGCCCAGGGAACAGTTCAAAAGCTGAGGCCTGGAGGTCCAGAACCCAAAGAGTGTAAGCGCTGTAAAAACGGGGACCCCCGATTGAAGAGAATTCACAGAAATCTTATTTTCATGATAATTTTAATAATATTCCTTTTGCAAAATGAAGCTGAGAAACTAGAAATGCATAAATAGGCAATACACAGAGCCATGAAATGATCCCTTGTCACCACCAGTGTCCTATTCACACGTGTCAGCCTGCCTATGGGCAAAGCTTTTGCTCTCTGTCAATTTAAGATGTTGAAATGGAATTCCTTTTTCCCCTTCTTTTCACGTACAAACTGCTAAAAATTAAATTTAAACCATCACTATTGTTAATATCTGAGAAATGGAAAAAACCCCAACCAGTTTAACTGTAACATCTGAGTGAAGAAGTGAGCCTGAAGTCACAAACACCTTCAGTCCACTCATTTTTTTTTTGTGAGAGACGGAGAGTCCCAATGTACAGACTCAGTTCTCATGAAAAGCAACCAGATCTGCAGTTCTTTGCGTAAAGACTGCTGAGAGCAGATCTCAAATCTGATATTGTGCTAAAATATTTCTCTTTACCATTATGGTAAAGTGTGTACAGTGTCACAGGAGTTGCTAAGGACACCAAACCCCCAGGGATTTACCACAGAATTGTTGTATTCACACAAATTATGGCAAATTTAGAGTCTGTCAACTCGAGCTCATCTGATCACATGAATTCTTCACCTTACTTTTAGCAAGAGCGATGTGAAGGCCAGAAATGACATTCATTATTTCTAGTATTGACTTCTGTCAGGAAAGAAAACAACTATTCAAACTATAAACCCTTGTGCTGACCCTGATTTCACAGGGGTGAAGGCAGTGTCCAAGGGGAAGGCACAGCAGAGGTGCCTCAAGGCTCACTGAGGGGATTTGGGAAATTGTTCTGTTTTCACTGTTTGACCAGAAACCACTCAAAGCCAAATCCTGGTCTGTGCAAGTGGGTGGACAGATAACCCAAACTCAAGACTGATTCCAATCCTTCTGGACATTTTGCTCACAAGCTGCTTCTGAAGAAAAGTTCTGAGAAGTAACTCTAAGAAAAAAATAAGACAGAACCTCAAAAATGAATGCAATGTTAGAAATAGCATATATTACAAATCTTTTCTTGATAGGAACAATCAATAAGAATACATATTAGCTTAAAAACAGTTCAGCAAATGTTGCTGATCTGCAAGAAATCTCAATTCACTATTTACAAATAAGACAAAGTGAATACAGGAAATTTTACACATTTGGTAGTTAACATGTTATTGTTTGCCGAGTGGTCTATTAGAAACTGATATTTAGGAAGACTGGAAAAACACCCCAACCAGTTATTACCTCTTCAGTCTATATTTTAAGTACAGAAACTAGAGAATGAATACTGGAAAGAACATTCTGCCTCATCAGGGGGATCAGGGACAGATGACAACGCTGAGACTTCTGCCATGAACTCCATTAAAATGTTCTGGGTACAGGATTTTAATAAATACACCTCATCCTACTGAAAGAGGTTGTTGCCACCAGCTTAGCTCCTTCTGCCTGTCAAAAACTCACATTCCTGCACATGCCAATTCAGAACAGTTTAATGATATTTTTCTTTTTCTTTTTGCTACACATAAAATGGAATAAAGAAAGTAAAATGTCAATAATTGATTGACACAGAAGACCAGTTATTCACAACTCTGCTGCAATGAGATGACCAAAGCAATGACCAACACACACTTGAGTTCACACAGAGAGGGGATTTCAGGGACTTTGCTCACAGTTTACACTGCAGTGTAATGCAAGATACAGTCACTGTATTGGTCCAGTCCTGCAGAACGTTCTCCTACACAGTCTCAGCTGTACATGGAACATCTCTTATCAAATCTGCTTCTCTTCAACATTTTCTCCACCTCTATCTGTGAGACCAGGATGAGTGTGTCCCCTCCATCAGGAAAAGAAAGGATCAAGGAAAAAAAAAAATACAAACCACCAAAAATTTACAATACAAGTTTTTTTCCCCTTTTGATGCAAATGTTTTTCTGTACAAGTGTTTTTTGTAATCTAATACTGTTTAAAAAGCTATCAGCTTCTTCAAGATGGCCACTGTAGGCATGATAATATTCCAGGAACACTTAAATAACAGTTTTTACAATAAATTTCAGGTCCATATCATTAGATTACTTTATATGCACTGGTCTCTCATCTGATTTTAGGCGTTTTCTACGTGGTTGTATAAAATCTTCATCGGAGTCCTCAGTTATTTCACCATCATCCTCTTCCTGCTCAAATTCAGGCAAAGGCTGGAAGGTCCTGTCTGGGTAGATCTCTGAAAGTTTATCTTCAAAGTATAATGCAACTGCCTTCCCTGCCTGTGCTACTTCTGAATCAGCCTGTGGATGAAAGAAGACAGGAATATTCACCTGTTGGAAATGCACATCCCTTCACCAAGTGTGCATGGTCTGAAACGCTTACCTTCAAATTAATCTCTTGTGTTTCTGCATAAACTTGAACAACTTTCATCATCTAAAAAGGATACCAGAGTCAAAAAAAATGAAATTATAATCCTTCCTAAAGTTTACCAGATTGCATAGGATTGGATGACTAAAGTCAGCCATAACAACACCACAGTTTGTTATGGGCTGAGCTCTTTAGTTCCCAAACTTAGAGGCAGCAGGTTTAAGACAGTCTTAGGTGGTAAATAAACCTTCAACAAAACACACAACTCTTGCACAAATAAATGGCTCCCAGTCATTTTCTACTCATGACTGCTTTCTTGGTTCTCAATTTTCGTTGCCTAGACATTTTCGTGGAAAGTCTCACTCTGGAGTGCTCCAGGAAACTGCTTTCCAGGGGTCTGACCCAACTTGGATTGCTGCTTTTTAAAAGCATTTGGCTTAGAGGCACTAGATATGATGCCACTGTGAGGGGTCAGGGGGACTCAACTTTTGCCATAGGTCAGACAAGCTGAAACATCTTTTTTTTTGTTTGTTTTTTTTTAGAAAGAAAAATAAGAAAAAAAACCACCACATCCCTCAGTCCCTTCCTCCTTTGTTTTACTCTGGTCCCTGAGAGCTGCAGCTTGTTTTACCCTACAGCAGCTGCTTCATTAATTCCCTTGATTGAGAAGTTCACATAATTGCAACTTCTTCCCCCAGTGCTCAAGAACCTCCATCTAATGCAGAGACATAAAGGAGTTGGGGCTGACAAAGTCCCAAATGCTTGTGAGCATTTACAGCATCACATCATTAACCTTGATTTTCACTAGTGGGATTTTAATTCCAGCTCTGTGCAGTCCCTTCAATTTACTTCTGCACAGAGCCAGAAGTGCAACCCAAACACTGCAAATTCAGGTTACAGTTTACAGAGAAATATTGGCCTGTTCATGCATTTCTAAGATCAGAAGAAAGCCACTCCCTGTGATGCCTTTTGTCAGAAATTAGGAACCCTCTGAGCTCCTACTCTGTCTCACCACAGTATCACCATTTTTTTTTAATATTCAGATTATTTTTCCATTGCCCCAGTAGCAGTAACACTCAGGTAATTCATCTCCCCAAGTCACATTTCACATATAAGGTACAAATATTTCATTATGAGATGGGATCATCGCAAAATTAGTAAAAGATATGACTTCATACCCAAGCTATCCACTGAAAACTGTTTTTGTGAGAGCCCAACTACCCATGAGCTAAAGCAGTAAGGTCAATATTGGCAATAACAACCTTAAAGCTTTTCTGTATTCAGCCTCTGTGAGGTACTAGAACCAGAATATTCTTCAGAAAGGCACTTCTCAGTAGAGGAAGCTCCTCAATAGAATTTATCACATTTCATGAGTGTAAAACAATTATCTGTACAGTTTGAAACAGTTTTTAAGGACTTTGTTTGTCTTTATTACCACACTTTCTAAGCACTTCACACAGTAACGAGGTCACCCTGCCCCTCAGTCAGAGATCCATACCAGTGAAAGCACTTTAAGAGTGCTGAACTCCCAATTTAACTAAAAAGGAGAAATATTTCTGCAGTTGCCTTTGTTTGGTTTGGTTTTTAAGTGTCTGCTCTGGCATCTGCTCCAAAAGCAGAAGTTAAGACTGGAAGCAGAGCCTTTAACTGGAGAAGCTGCACAGGCATGTTGAAATCAATCTTTAATCTAAAGAGAGCTGAGTGCTGAGATTGGAAGTTAACATACTTCATTAAACCGGTCACAGTTCTTGAAGATCAACCGCACGTCTGCCACGAAATCCTCGGGGCTCTGGTAGTGCTGGGAGTGCTTCTTCTGCAGCTTCTTCTTCACCGTGGACAAATCCATGGGTTTCTTTATGATTTTATAGTAGTTTGGTATCTGTGAAGAGCAAACAGTGGTTTATCACTGAAATCACCACAGAGCTCACGGAGGGAGTTGAGTGTTTTGAAGCTTTCAGTGAGTTGGTCTCGTCACACACTTTATGTTCGGCAAAGACAAAGAATTTCCTTCCCTCAAACTGTTTAAAAAGTTCTTTACAAGGGTATGGAGTGACAGGACATGGGATATTGGGAAGGAATTGTTTTCCCTGTGAGGGTGGTGACCCTGGCACAGGGTGCCCAGAGAAGCTGTGGCTGCCCCACCCCTGGAAGTGTCCAAGGCCAGGTTGGACGGGGCTTGGAGCAACCTGGGCTAGTGGAAGGTGTCCCTGCCCACAGCAGGGGGTGGAATGAGATGGGCTTTAAGGTCTCTTCCAACCCAAATAATTCCATTATTCTATGTCTGTCACAGCATACAAAGGTTTTTCATTACAGTTACTTCTTTTACAGCTGAAACCAGAATAGTCAAAGCAGTTTTATTCCTCTTTTCATTCAAAAGTTTGTCCAAAAAGAAAAAAAGAGCTCTCCCAAAGCATTTTGAATTTCATGGGTATCCTGAGACATCCTCTTCCAAGTCAATAACTGCTAATTGAAAGTATTTTTAAATATCTATTTTAAGAGACTGGAAGTGAAGCATCTGCATGGGGAAGCTACAGAATCAGCTTCTTTCAGTATCACAAAATACTGGATGACTGCCAGAACTTTTAGATTGATCAAGGGAGACATGCTTCTAGTAAAGTCAGCTCCTTCAACTCCAGACTTTCAGAGATGTTATATCAGAAATAAACCACCAACTGTTTTCCAGGAGACTCACCGAGGCTGGGACTGGCTCTTGAAATTCAATGCTCAGCTCGTGGCAATACAGGTAAAGCAGGAGACGTTCACATTTCTATAAAGCAATAAAACAGCTTCAGACTGATACTCCTAATTTATCCTTAGCACAGAAATTCACACCTGCCTGTTTGAAATAGGTTTGTACTTCAACAGCTTAGTACTAGAAAATTTAGATGCAACCCCCAAAAGCTTAATTAGGAAAGTTACAATTTTTAGGAGGGCAAAGTTGAGAGGCAGAACACATAATGTTCACAAACTTCCTCTTTGCTTTCTTCTTCCTAAACAAAAGCCAAAGGCTAAAATTTAACATGGAGAGGGGCATGCTAATCTACTGCAAATTAAAACAAACCAAACCAAACCACAACAAACTACAGTTCCTTTTACTGCTTTTGTCCAATCACAACCACATGTAACAGGAAAGGACTGAGTTACAGATGGCTCTTTTCCCCACAAGACAAAATTAAACAATCTGAAACCAAAACCAGAGGTTTCTTATAAACTCCCTGTTGAAATATTTTTCTTTGCTTTGCTTGTAATTCCTTTGGAGGAATTTGATTTGAGAACACTTTACACACAGGCTGATTGATAAAGGTAAAATGAATTCTGACTGTCAAGGCCATTATACCTTCCCCAAAAATCCACTTGCAGCAGCTCTCACAGCTTGGACTTAACACACCAAACTTCCAGAACTATTTTATGAAGGTTACATCGATGCCAAATACCAAGAATTTCTAATTAAGAACATGTTAAATGATGCATTTAAATATAGAATATGTGTTTACATAAAATTTTAGCTACTAAGTGATTACAGTCCCAATGCAGTAGAACATTCCCACAGTCACCAACACCTGGAGATGTGGCCACATCTCACAGCAAGAAAAATCTCATTATAATCATTTTGGGTTGTTTTGCAAGAGCCAGATTCACATCTAATTTGCTGCAGCCACAGCAAAACCATCTCCAAACAGTGGGGGAGAGCTAATCTGAGAAAGTACTTTTTCCTAGGAAGCAGATTCCTGCAGATTTGAGACCTACCCTTTGGTCCACAGGACTCAGGCCTTGTGCTGTTTTCCCCTTCTTGCTGTGCTGTGAATTGTCACAATCATACTCTACTTCAGGTTTGCTCAGATCTCTGCAGAATGTACATATCCACTCTCCACTAAAGAGAAAAACCACAATTATTGCAGATATCCAGGGGCAAATTCTCATCAGGGACTACAAAGATTTTTTCACTCTTACAGATTCACACTCCACTGCAGTAATGACTTGAATAGTCAAAGTTAAGGAATAACCCTTAAGGCTCACAATAACCCTGCCAAGTGAAGGCCATTTTTCCTGCCCTCATATTCCTCTCCCAATGATGTTTTAATACTTTACACCACTCTCATCTCATCTTAAAATAAACTTCATGTAAGAGTATCACAGTCTGAGAGATCACGTGTTTATCAGCTAAACACTGACCAGGCACAAACAATTCAGGCAGGCATTGGAAAAGTCTTTACTGCAAGTCTTACTAAGCAAGAAATCACCCAGAACCAGCTGGGGTGGAGTAAAACAGAGTTTTGGCACTATGGACAATCTCCCCCCACGAATCACAGAATCAGCTGGGTTGGAAGGGACCTCTGAGATCATCAAGTCCAACCCTTGATCCAACCCCGCTGTGGTTCCCAGCCCATGGCACTGATGCCACATCCAGTCTCTTCTTAAAAACCTCCAGGGATGGAGAATCCACCCCTTCCCTGGGCAGCCCATTCCAATGGCTGAGCACCCTCTCTGCAAAGAAATTCTTCCTAATATCCAACCTAAACCTCCCCTGGCACAGCTCAAGACCCAGCCCTCTTGTCTTGCTGAGAGTTGCCTGGGAAAAGAGACCAACCCCCCCTGGCTCCCCCCTCCTGTCAGGGAGTTGCAGAGAGTGAGGAGGTCTCCCCTGAGCCTCCTCTTCTCCAGGCTGAACAGCCCCAGCTCCCTCAGCCTCTCCTCACAGCACTTGTGCTCCAGTCCCTTCCCCAGCCTCGTTGCCCTTCTCTGGACCTGCTCCAGCCCCTCCATGTCCTTCCTGAGCTGAGGGCCCAGAACTGGACACAGCACTCCAGGGGTGGCCTCACCAGCGCTGAGTCCAGGGCAAGAATCACTTCCTTGGACCTGTTGGCCACACTGTTCCTGAGCCAGGCCAGGATCCATTGGCCTTCTTGGCCACCTGGGCACACTCTGGTTCCTGTTCAGCCTCCTGTCCATCCCCACTCCCAGCTCCCTCTCCGCCTGGCCTCTCCCCCCATCCTCCGGGCTGACGGCGATCCCGTACCTGGGGAAGCTGAGGAGCGTTGGTACGTGACAGGTGAGGTGGAACACCTTGGGGCACTTCTCACAGCACAGCAGGTCCCCCCCATTCTGGCACACAGCACACCAGTCCTCGTTGGGGTCGTCGTCCTTGTTGTTCCCCTCTCCCCCGGCGCGGGCCGAGCGGTGCATGAGGCTGCGCACGGGGGACTTGCCGTTGACCAGCCCGTGCCCTGACTGCTTGCAGCTCTCGCTCAGATCCGCTGGTTCCGTCTTCACGTGGTTTTCCAGGCTCCCCAACGCTTCTAATTCGCTTTCCAGGTGCAAGGTGGTGGATAGTGGTGGTGTCAAGCTGCTCTCAGGGCTGCTGAGCTGAAACGGGAAGCGGGAGAGAGGCAATTTTAGAAGGGCATCTTCCTTCATGTGCTGGAATTCAAAAGCCATCCACTGTTTAAAGGTACTACACTCATATCCCAAAATAAGTGGGAAAGCATTATGAAGAGCTGAGGTGCACATAATATTAAAAGCTACTTTTTCACAAGCCCTTCCTTTCAAGAACACACTCATTTCTCCTGATACACAACATGATAAACTTTCAGGCCAAATACACTGATCATAGAATCATAGAATCAGTCAGGTTGGAAGGGACCTCTGAGATCATCAAGTCCAACTCTTGATCCAACACCACCGTGGTTCCCAGTCCATGGCACTGATGCCACATCCAGTTTTATCCTAAAAACCTCCAGGGATGGAGAATCCATCACCTCCCTGGGCAGCCCATTCCAATGGTTGATTACCCTTTCTGTAAAGAATTTCTTCCTAAATGATCTTTCCTTTAATGATCACTCATTAAAAACTAACTTTCATTGACATTAGGAAAACTCCTCCAATCCACCACCCTGCTCCAAGTACACAATCCCATTAAATCAAGCATAGTTGGATAACACTGAAAAATATTCTCTTGGATTAATATTTTATTTATGCTCTGGCATAAGAACTTTTGACTGATTGGGAGATTTCTGAATGTAATTACATATGGGTGAATATCCAGGAACTACTATTAGCAGGTGACTTACAGCTTTTATTAACTAAGGATTAAAAGCAGCAAACACACCACACTGTGGGTATTTAACTTTAATAGCTAAAGATTAAATTTACATGACAGACTACCCTGTGCCTGGCAGAGCACTGCCAGGGAGAAAACACCTCTCAGAATGAGGGTTATGAGTAGAATTTTTTTTTTCTTTATTTCCAGATTCTTAAACATGCTGCTAGGACAACCGTGACATATTGTTACATAAACTAACTTTACCATGCAAGCACTCCTCCTGCCATCCTCTGTTTTTTCCTGTTTTACTGTTCCTGAGAAGCTGCAGATCTCTTCCTCTGTGCCTGGCTCTTGCTTTACTTTCACTTGGTCAGCCTTGAAGTTAACACCAGTTTTCTCAGCAGTTCTGCCCGAGGAGCCACAGCTAGAAAGACACCAGCACATAAATAAGAGGAAAAATCATCAGGGCAAAGAAATTTAGGTAACTGTTTCCCAAATGAAAGGCAAAGCACGTCAGAACATTTACAAAAGCTCGAGTTTACAGCAGAGAATCACAGTGAAGGGAAAAAAATAAAGAATATAAATCTCCATGTAAGCATTCTTCCATTTTTGAGTCATAATTATATTGAAGCCCTATTAATCCACTGCTAATTCTTTTTTTTTTTTGGAATTCTTCATGTCTGAATTTTCAGCCTGGCAGTGTTAATGTGACACATCACTCACCTTCCTCTGCTCCCTGTGCTGGAGGTACTGGGTGGCCTCACTGGAGTGTGGGAGTTGGATAAACCTGCAAAGAAGCAGCACAGAAGTTGACTTGGTACAAGTTCACATTCTGAAGTATAATGACTAGTGTTGAGTAACACCAGAAATGCTGCTAAAATATCCTAATCTAATAAATCACCTAAGTCAGCTGTTCTTTGTCATTTGATCAGATCAAATTAAATAAAAAAAAGACAACACACGGTTGGTAAGAGACCCAGTAATTATTTCAGCTAATCCAAACAGTGCTAAAGCCTTCAGCCCACCATGCCCTCAAATTTTATGCTCTGATAAAGTCAAAAAAGCAAACTCTGAATGGTTTGCATGCAAGTTTTGAGAAACACTGTAAGTCCCACTGCTGCACCCCTTCATCCACAGCATCTTGGAGAGAAGACCAAGAGAAACACCTATGAAATCCCAGAGTGGTTTGGGAACTTAAAGCTCATCTCATTCCACCCCTTGCCATGGGCAGGGACACCTTCCACTAGCCCAGGTTGCTCCAAGCCCTGTCCAACCTGGCCTTGGACACTTCCAGGGATGGGGTAGCCACAGCTTCTCTGGGCAACCTGTGCCAGGGCCTCCCCACCCTCCCAGGGAAAAACTTCTTCCTAGTGACTGAAATCATCTTCTTTCTAATAGGAATGGACATTTCCAATATTTAAATAACTCAACCTTAGGTACTGGTGACTTGATTTGTTCACATCCATAATGAAATGTCTACCATTAACTGGTTATACTCAGAATGACCCTGCTCAAATGATTGTTGGGTGTATTTCTGTGACTAAGCTATTCTATAAACTTACTTCCCAAACCTCAGAATGGTCCAGCCAGTCCTCATTTGGGGACAATAACTGAACTATGTCCTCTGATGCACAAAAAAACCCAATTGTGGTAACACAGGACAAAAATATTATCTCTACATGTATCTGGAATACTTCACTCATGGGCTGGCAGTTTGTTACTATAAAAACTTTTCTGAAGGAGGGTAAAATTTAAATTTCCAAAAGAATCTATTTCTGAGCAAAATAAATTTTAAATAAATTTGGTAAAAAAACGGTAAGCAATTGTTTTCAACTTAAATACCACAAATACCCATCACATTTACCTGATGACCCTGGAGACAGAGCTGAAGGTCCTGGGGAGGGATTCATGGTACTTGTGGGTTGTGGGGGGAGGTGGCTGCCTGTAATGTATCTGCTTAGCAGGTTATCTAAACTATTTGAACCAGCATCTTCAAGCTAAGAAGAGAAAACCAGAAATCTGAATCAGAGAGGTCTAATTCAAGTTGAACATCTTTAAACAGTGATCAGCATCTTTATGGGAATTGTTCCCTCTCCCTTCAAGGATTTGAGACACCAGCAAACATTTTCATCAGTTTTATACAGAGATGAGGCTTTCAAATAAGAAATTTAAAGTCAGATTTTTCAAAGGCTCCTAAATCAGAGTTCTTCCAGTATGGTCCCAGGCTGCACTTACTCCAGGTCACTCCAAACTTTCTGGTTCCCAGATGCTCAGTGTTACTCACACACATGGTGTTAGTCATGAACTACCAGATCACTGATGTTGCAAGAGTTATTCCACAATTAAGGGAAACCATGAACTTGTTTGTCCTTAATGTGATGGGAAATCTCCCTCCCATTCACTTTTCACACAGATTTCAGTATCTGTTAAACCTTCCCTCTGTGCTTCCTGCCTCTGCTACCTTTAGGAATATCACAGAGAAGCTCCAGGCAATTTTAACCCTGAATAAATCACCATTCAAGACACTCAAAATATGTAACTATTCAACTATTCTAGTGATATCTTCCATAACCATTCAACTATTCTAGTGATATCTTCCATAACCATTCAACTATTCTAGTGATATCTTAACTATTCAACTGTTCTACTGATATCTTCCACAACTATTTAACTATTGTAGTGGTATTTTCCACAACTATTCAACTATTCTACTGATATCCTTCCCACAGGATGGCCTTGTGGAAGAAAGGAAATTAACACTTGGGATTATTTAAAGTCTCAATTTTACTATCTGACACACATTAAATACTGATTAATCTACAGGTTAACAGGTGGAGCAGCTCAACCCTACATGGAGAAAACAGCCCAAGTGAAGGGCTGAAGATTTTAATTTAAATTTTAAATGACAATCGTATCATTCCACAGACACACACAGGTATCCAAATGAAAAAAATACATGGAAAGGGAAGCAGATCATTCCAGTGCTAAGTGCCTGATGAGCACCACTGACCTGGATGGGTGGGATGTCTGGCAGGGAAGGCAGGTTCTCTGGGTTTGTCACGGAGGGGATGAGCTCGATGGCCGAGACGGACGGACTCGTGGGCCCCCTGTTTGCACTGGCCATGGTTGCTGTGGTGGGGCTGGTGGGGTTTATTGTGGTGTTGTGCACAGAAACCACTGGAAAAGGCCCAGCATGCCCAGGGTTCGAGTGCTGCAGGGAGAGAGCAGAGAGCAGGGCTGTGTTACAGACAGGGCAGGCACTGCAGGGACACTGCAACACATGCACTGTGTGACAGACCTCGACCAAAACCACACCAGCTCCCATCTATCACCGTCACCTGACAGCACTGAATGCAAAGCAACTGCTGTTTCTCTTCACTTGGAAAGAAAAAAACACCTTATGTGCCTAGACATTTAAATATACAGCACATCTTCCACCAAAACATTTTTTCTTTTTTTTTAAGGCAATTACTTCCTCCAAAGACAACTTTAGAGTTCATACATCTCTCTATAAATTTTAAGAAAAAAGCGACTGTTTCAAGTAATATAAACTCACTTTTGATTTCTTAGTCACATTAACATTCATTATCAATAATTTTTATTCTTAATGGCATACAGAGCTCTGCATCATGCTTCAGGTTTGAATTTAAAACCACTTTAGAATTTAGTTCAATAAAAACCCCTCAGCTACACCACTTTGAACTTTGCTATTCCTCAGCATTCTCTACGGAAACCCAAAAGCTGAATGCCACTGAAAAGTGCCAAAGGAAACGTTCTGCTTCCCAGAACTAAAAAAGCAATACAAATATTACATTTCATTTTTAAGGTTTCAGCACCAAATGTCACCTGACAGTACAGAAATGTCACCGTGCAATGGCAGAGCATATCAACGTGTGTGGCTGGGAGTTACAGGGGTGACAGAGAGACACATTTACAGCTGGAGGTACCATCTACTGGAATGAAAGTCTGGCACAATGGCACAAATGAAGCGTGTACACAGGATATACTTGTCTTTGAAGGTGAGGTTGCATCATGGAGTATTGAGGTCCATTGTGGCGTGGGATTCCTGGAATACGAGCAGCATTCTGAGCCATTCTCATCTGATGTGCTTGGAAAGCCCCACAGTTCATGTTACCCCTCTGCATGGTCTGCATGCTGATCAACCTGGGAGGCTGCAAGGGTTTGGGTTTTTTAAAATTTTTGCTTTCAACAGGGAGAAAAGAAGCCAATCTCTTCCCACAGTAGTAGGATTACGAGTAACATAACATCAAGCAAAGCCAAGAGCCATCACATTAAAGGATGTCAAATTTCAAAAGATTTTAGTTTATAAACTGCTTTCTAAGTTTATATTTGACAGGGCAATTCTGAGTGAAATAACAACACAAAAGACACTTACCTGCTGCTGGAGGACTTGTTGGCTGCTCTGCCTGGGCACGGATGCAGATGATGGCTGTGCCATCCTCATCTGCTGCAGCTGCTGGTGTTTTTGGGCATAAACTTGCTGCTGCATGTGCTGGAGTCGAAGCTGTGCAAGATTGATCTGTCCTGGAGCTTTGTTGATGTGGTTTGTTGCTGGAGGGGTTTGCCCAACCACTACATTAGGAGTGTAACTAGGGGCTGGTTTATTTTCAATGACAAGGTTACCTAAACAAAACCAATCAAAAAAAAAAAAAAAAAAGGAAACACTTAAAACTCCATCATCATCCAATAAATGCAGAACATTCAGATGTTTCTACTGCAGTTTCCTCAGTGGCAGTAAAAAAGCAATTCAAGCTTGAAATTTCCTTTTTAAGTCTCTATAACCATATGTGACAGAAACAAAACGAGAACTCAGACTACAAGAAGAAATTGCAAAATTAAAAACGTGATTTGTGAGGAAAGAGTGAAAGAACTGGAACTGCATAGTCTTAAAAGCCAAGACAGGTAGAGATGACTGCTCTGTGTTCACCACAAAAAAGATGAGAAAAAAATTTTTTGAGCATAAAGTTTCTATATCTAAGGAAGCAAAGCCTGGGAAGAGATATTTGGGGGACAGTGAAGAGTGTCCCACAACTGAGTGACTAAGAACAGGTTACATAAAACTGCTACAAGCAAGCCCTGCCTTCCTAAAATGTGGTGGGACCATGTTACCTCTCTAAAGGGAAAAGGCAAAAATGTTATTTTTGACTGTTAACATGTACTCCTTGGGATCTGCATGCCCCATTTTATGGAGAGTTTCCTGTTTCCTTCTCTGCCTGCCCTGGGGAATGAACCTCCTTGACTGAAGACAGGAACACCACAACCTGGATAGTGGACTCAGAGCAAGCAGCAAGTACACACAAAAGCTGGTATTTTTATCTGGTTTTCTACTGCAGTTTTACCCAACAGAGAAGTTCACAGGCAGGTGCTAACAGGTCTCATCTCCCTCTTCTCTCACTCAAAACCTGTGCTTTACAAAGTCTAAGTGATTATATTTCAATATACTGGAACTGGCACAGGGTGCCCAGAGAAGCTGTGGCTGCCCCATCCCTGGAAGTGTCCAAGGCCAGGTTGGACAGGGCTTGGAGCAACCTGGGCTGGTGGGAGGTGTCCCTGCCCATGGCAGGGGGTGGGATGAGATGAGCTTTAAGGTCCCTCCCAACCCAAACTATTCCAGGATTAGTGTCATTCCTAGAACCATTCCCACTGGTTCCCAAAACCCTTTGAGAAAGCTTTGCTACTAGAAAGAACAGAGCAGATAAAGAGGATCATCGGGACTGGATGGGTTATGTCAAGAGTTTTGGTCTCCTGCATTAACAGATGTATTGCACTCCAACTCACCCATGGTGGATGAACACCCCCAACTCAACTGAGTTTTTCAAGTAACACAGAACAAACACAGACAGTTTTCTCACCTAAATTGACAACATTCTTGGCCCAGAAGGTGGGGTCACAATGGAAACGTATTGCTCCGTTGGCAGCTGGGACGGGATCACAGCGGGCCTTCAGAATGTGCCGTAACTGGAATGTTATCTGATGGAAAGCAAAAACACACTGTTGGTGACAAAGAAATAAAGACAGAGAAGTAAGAAGTGTGCTTTTGCCTAGAGAGTTTAGGCTGTGAAACACCAGCAAGGACTGGCAACAGCAAGTTTGGTTCACAGCCTGGAAAGTTCTCAATTCACCAGGAAAATCATCTGCTGTACAACTCACTTTTTACTCCAAGGATTAAAGAGCAGCACTCTTACATCATAATAGTAATGCAATGACTCAAGTGAAACACTGAGGTGTCTTTACAGAGCTTGACCCCATTCCTTCTACAGTAATACCCCTAAATCTTTAATTCACAAATGAAAAGTAGTGTTCAAATTGGGAAATCTATCCCATTGTTACAGAAGGGGGGTTTTAGTTTATTAAATGACACATGAACAACTCATTGCCTCTTCCTTGGATATGATCTAGTGAAGCTGCAACAATACTTCGAAATTCTTTTGACTAATCATTCTCTGAACTGTGCAGTCCAGTCTGCACAGCCACACAAGGAGTGGCTGAGGTCACTTGGTCTGTTCATCTGGAGAAGAGGAGCCCGAGGTCAGAGCTCATCAGGGTCTAGAGCTTCCTCGTGAGGGACAGTTCCAATCTCTGCTCTCTATGAGCAGTGACAGGACTCGAGGGAATGGCTGGAGCTGTGTCAGGAGAGGTTTAGGTTGGATATTAAGAAAAGGTCCTTCCCCCAGAGGGTGGTGGGGCACTGACCAGGCTCCCCAGGGCAGTGGTCACGGCCCCAAGGCTGCCAGAGCTCCAGGAGCATTTGGACAATGCTCTCAGGAGCAGGGTGAGATTTTGGGGTGTCCTGTGCAGGGCCAGGGGTGGACTGGGTGATCCTGTGATCCCTTCCAGTTCAGGAGATCCCAGAGGAGAGTCAGAGGGTGCCCTCACCAGCCGTTTGCTGTAGAGCAGAGCGGTGCTGCTGCCGCTCGCGATCGCCCAGTTCGTGAAGTTCATCACGTGCTTCACTTGTCGGGACAGACCAGTGATGTCATTCTGCTGCTGGATTAACTTCATCTGTCTCTCCTTTGTCACATTCTACAAAGAAACAAAAACTTTATTACAAGGGGAGGGGTTCAGGTTCAGGAGGAAAATGCAAACGGCTATTCCAGTTCTTGGAGTAAAAGGAAAATGTCCCAAGCAACGCAGCTTTTACTGATGCTCACTCTCAGAGTGCTGGAACCATCAATAATTCTCTAATATTCCCTTCCACCATTCTTCCCAGAGGTATCAAATTGCAGGGATGACTGTGGGCTCAGAGAAGAGCCTCTGCTTTATCCCAGAAAATTATCAACAAATAAAACAAGACCAGTTTCTCCCTCTATTTCTTCCAAGGCACAGCAAAGAACTGAGGGAGCAATTTTCTAGCTTGTAACAAACATTAAGTAATCAAGAAAAGCCAAAATTCATGTAATTTTAAATTATTTCTTTTACTCATGATCAAATTATTTTTTTTCTTCCAGGAATATTCCATTTCCTTGCCACATAATTGTTCTTTAACCAGAAAAAAATCTATTGTAATTCACTTGATCTTAAATTTTTCATCATGGCAGACTGGCCATATGCAATTAACTATCTTCTTATGATGGATTTCCTCTCAGACAAAGGAAGTAATAATAAGTTTTATTAAAATCCATGAAAATGTAAGTCAGAATATAAATATTATTCAGGATGTGCTATCTGGAAAGGATGCCTGAAGTCTTTGTCTCCTTTATTCCAATCTCTGTAACTTTAAATACCAGCTTTACACCTTCATGCAAAAATACATAAGACTGCTGTGTCTATTCTTACATGAACCTTAAAAAACCTATTTGAGGAAAAGGTTGCATTACACACACCTTAGAGTTACACAATAATAGAGAAATACGGCAAAGAGAACATGAAAAGGAGATTTTCACACACTCCTTTACAATGAGCCTGATTTTGAATATGAGGCACAGACACTAAAGGAGCCACAGGCTCTTATGAAAGGATATACAGGAGATTTGACTCCAACACACTACTCAGAGGCAATATTAGTATTACAACACCTGCAGTCACAACAAACAAACCATTTTCAAACATGTGGGTTCTTAAGAGGGGACTGGAAACTGAACATTCCTTGTTCTCTTAACTGTACCTCGAGGTGCTGTAAGAGAGATTTTCCCTTTTTATTGATTTCATTGATGAGGGTGAATATTGCCACTTTGATTTCCTGTTCCACTCGTTTGTTCGTTTCATTTACTTCTTTTATCCTAATTAAAAAAAAAAAAGAGACAGAGAGAAATATTTGGTCAGACAGTGCAAAGACTTCCATAGAAATCAGCACATAAAAATTTCAACATTTATTGCTTCCATCATCATACATTTGCCTCTGTCATATGTTCTCCTTCCCTTACACTTTTTTTTAATGTACATGGTACCACAAGGAGTTAAGAATTTGCATCAGAACTTCTCCTTAAAGCTGTGGTCCTTCTGTACTTTCCACCTCCAGATGATGTGTCATTTTGCAAATGACCTGAAAGTTGCAGAAGGCTCAGAAAACCACCGAGAATCACAGTGGAATTCCCTGAGCTGCAGCACAACCACGTCACCCAAGTGGGGGAAAAGCCAGCAGAGATCACGTGCTCTGTCTCTATATTCACTATTTAACATGACGTTGAATTTAAGCAAACCCTGGAAATCTTAAGTTAAGCTGCCTAAAAAACCTCAAACAAAACCCCACAAACAACCACAATTTCCTATTCAAAGTCAAACCAAGTTTTGGTACACAGTTATCAGAGGCATTCATCTGAAACATAAAAATATTGCAATATTTCAACCCTTCTGTCACCTAGAGCTGACTGAAGTAGACACCATAAGATGGGTTTCCTTGCCTTTTTTATTCTTCCTCCTCCCCAAATTGTAATAAATGTGTCACATCTCTGGTTCTACTCAAAGTTGCCACAGAAGACACAACCTTTGATATTTGTTTCTTTTAACAACTTGTAGAGGAAAACAAACATTATGAAAATTAAGTCCAATATAACTAAAGATACAGAATCAACTCAAATGTGTTATTCCAATCCCATCACTCATCTTGCTGTGATTCAGGCAAAGTAACAGTTAATCCTTTTGAGGAACTTACCTATTCTGAACTTGGGCAGCTGCAAAATTTACATAATTCTTCTTCTCAAGAAGTTTGGCCAAAAGATTTTCAATTGCACCCTTCTGGTTCTGAAAAGCTTCTTCCAGAAACTGGTACCTTTTGAACACACAAGAGAAGACACCAATTACCAAGGCTGAAACCAAGGGTTCCCAATTCAGGTGTAAAACTGTAACATTTTCAAAAAAATATGACAAAACACACAGAAAAATCAGACCCTGCATATGCTGATCAGCATGAAAAATGTTTAAGTGCTGATAAAATCCTTTTCTGGTGTCCATAAAACTGAACCTCTGTGGGAAACAACAATTCCAACCACACAGGGATGCACTGCATCATTTCCCACGATAGCAAGCTATGGAACAGCAGCTCAAGGAGATACCAGGAACCTCAGTTTGATGAGGAAAGTGCACTGATCACTTAAACACACATTAAAGGATCACATAAACAGGTAAGAAGAACAAGATCCATCTGTTAATCCATTAGCAACATGCACAAAACAGATGCAAAGAAACCACCTAGAACAAGTTAGTGAACATATCCCAGAAAATCACACTTTGTGACAAGGGTGTCTTCCAGGATATTTAGGATCAAGCCTGTGAAAGAATAAAGCAGGAACATTTCAGGTTGTTAATATTTTAGTAATATTAATTTCAAAAGTAAAAGTTCTCCACAGGTTGCTGTAGCAGTCTGAGAATAATCAACTACTCTGGGAAAAACAACACTAAATTCAGTGTTGCACCTTTACAGAGAAGAGTCACTTGTAGCCTGACTAGAAAAAGCAGTGGTGCAGTGGCTGATAAATAGATATTTATCTCTAGATTCTTTATTATAACACTGACAAATACTTGTTCAGACATTCAAACAACTGTAGGAGAGAGCTCCTAAAGTGCAGGAAGTTTTACTGTATCTTAAGAGGTTCCAACTTTTTTGGGCAGCAAAGAGCCAAGACTCAGCATTGCTTTTCATCTGGAATGAGGCAACAACTTTCAACCAACTGAAAGCAAACCATTTTTCCCTTCTGTAATAAAAGAATATATTCATCTATGAGGGGGAAATTTAGACTTTCCTTTACGAAATTCCCCTGCACTGAAAGACTATTGCACAATAAAATGTGCCCTTTCAGAAAATGACCTCACCCATGACTCAGTGTATCACTGCTGCTTCTTTACAGCACCAGGTGCTCAGGGCTGCAGGAATTTCCATTCAAGTCCTGAACAGTGTGACAGCACTGGGAAAGTTCACACCTTAACCACACCACATCTCCTCAGCCCGGGTTGGTTTGAATCTGATCTTAAGAGACTTGACAAAGCTCAACCAGTTGATCACTTCAAGTCACACTCCACACATTTTCCCCTGGAAGTGATCACTTCAGTCCAACAAAGAGGAAATGCAACAGGATTTATGACACAGCTGGTTTCCATCAGTGCCATTCCATCCTCTGGGACAGCACAGCACAGGAATTAAGACATGGGAATATCTGTACCTGTGTTCTTTGTGCTCCAGTAACTGACAGTCTCTGCACGTCAGCCTGTCACAGGTTTCACAGAAAAGCTTTAACTGCTCTTGTTTGTGCACAGGACAGAAAACAGGACGTTGACCAGATGCTCCCACGGCCTCTGTTTTTAAAAATAAACCATTTGTGTGTTTTAAAATAAAATCTGGACAATCTGAAGGGCAAAACAACTAAATTCCAAGCTAAGTAACAACCACAAACGTACAAAGACAACTCCAGACCTGTTCTCACCCTAAAATTACTGTGAATACATTAGGACTTTTGAGGTCTTTTCCAATCTTAATGATTTCATGATTTACAGTGCCAGTGGTTTATAGTTGCTTCCACTTTATTCAAGGAGAAGAAGGAATTCCTCTCCCAAGCACCCAAAAGACACTGACACCTGTAAGAATGGAAAACTGCACACAAACACCAGGTGTACATGTGGTTAAAGATTTAATTCCATGGGATTTCAGCTCTGGCACACTCAAGGACGGATCAAACTCTCAAATCTTTATGCTGTCAAACACCCATATGTTTTCTAAGTTATCCCTTCAAAACCTTAACACACCCCATTAAGTCAAACACAACCAAGAGGTAACTGCAAAGCAAACACTGTCTGTCAGGAGTTACTTAAACCCCACCTAAATTGCTTAAATTTTCCACTTCAGCAAATAACAATGTCCAAAAATAGTCCTGAGTTTACTAAAAAGGGCTGCACGGTTTTCTAAAGATATTTTGAGCTTAGCAAAGAGGAAAGCAGCCCTGGGAAGATGCAGCAGGTAGGGTTCAAAACATGGATGTCTTCCTCAGTCTCCAATGTTTCTGAAGCTTGTTATATCATGCAAATTATTGTGAAAAAAGAGAGCTGATGAATCTACAATTGACACTCATTAAGAAAAATTTAAAGTCTCCAGGGCACAATTTTGAGTCTAAGAAGAATAAAAAAATAACAACCAGCCCTTCAACACAACCATGATAAATAGAATTTCTGATGGAAAGTTTATTTTATTGGAAGTCATTTTCAGCACCTTCCCAGTCAGGTTATCAAAGGGAAAGCTGAGCTATAATATCACCTTAACAGTCACAATTTAGCACTCCTTGGAAAAACATCAGTAATTCTTTGCCTGGCCCTGTACTTTGATTTAATTTAAGGACTTCTCATCTAGAGATTTAATAAATTTAAGCTTAAATGGGTAATATTTCCTTTAAAAAAAATATTCATTAAGACATACAGAGAAACCTCTCCAAAAGTGAAATTTATTTGCTAGAGCAAGGGAAATAAGTTCCTTGTCTAAAAGAACTAAGCTCAACAGCAAAGTTTTTAACTATTAATATGATTTTGACAAGTGCTGGTAGAAAGAAAAGCAGTGTTTGTTCCTGTGAAAGGATACAAAAAATAATCATGAAGATCTTAATTCATTTTAAATGGAGAGAGAGCAAAGTCAAAAGATCTCTCTTCCTCAATATGATCATTCCTTATATACATCCAGATTAGGGAGAACATACAGGTCTTTGAATCAGAACTTTTAACCCATTTACAAATCAAATTTTCTAAGTTAAAATCCAGATACCCTGGACCTGTTTTGACAACATTTTCTACATTCCCTCAATAGGCTACGAGTTATATATAATCAAACAATAATTTAAGAATTAACTTCTAATAAAGCTGGATGTCTAAACAAATCCTACACACACTTCACATGTTAAATTTTCCTAACTGAGAGATTAAACCTAAAATAAACTCAAATTCCACATTTACTCAGCAATATCAATACAACAGTATCATACTGAATATGACTCTCAGCTTATCTGTATATACTTGTCTACTGGGAGAACTATAATTGCTCCTTAGAACAAAATACAGCAAAACATGTAATTTAATTTCCTTGCCAATGGATGGGATTATCAATATGTCAGTGCTCTCCAGATTCCAACCCTTTCATTTAGTTACTTGTTCTACTAAACAGGATTATTAAGAATGGATCTAAATCCTTTCCAAAGGCTGCACACTCTTGGCTTCTACACTTAAAAGCATTTTGTCCACTGGACATGAAACTGTACAAAGTATGAACGAATAACTCAGTTAAAAATTTAGGTTTTAGAGTTACTAATTTTGCACTGGTAAACTTCTCCCAAATCCTTGGGGAAAGCCACACAGAGCTGGCTGTTAGCTAAATCCTCCTCCCTCTCTTTTATCACATGGGCCAAAGAGAAAACACTGTTCATATGGGCAGGACAAAGTGAAACCCAAACACTCACCTGAAGACACATCCTCTTTTTTCCTGATCATGTGATCTTTAGTGAACTTCACTCGCTGGTGAGCTTCTATGCAGGTCTTGCAGAGCCACTCCCCACACTCCACACAGAACCCAACGGCACTGGCGTTGTCCTCACAGCTCGTGCACACCTGTGAAGGGACACAGTCACTGGGCTCTGCAGAGGGACCTGGACAGGTTGGACAGTTGGGCTGATTCCAAAGGGATGAGGTTCAACCAGGCCAAGGGCCGGGTCCTGCCCTTTGGCCACAACGGGCCACTTTAGCCCCATGGGCTGGGACAGAGTGGCTGGAGAGCAGCCAGGCAGGAAGGGAGCTGGGAATTTGGATTGACAAGAAGCTGAACAGGAGCCAGAGTGTGCCCAGGGGGACAAGAAGGCCAATGGATCCTGGCCTGGCTCAGGAACAG